TGAACATGCACAATAATCCTATCGGGCGTACTCCACCATCTGGCTTGTCGAGGAAGATGATATTCGTCAAAAACTCTGCGATCACACAGGGTCGATCCTCGAACGAGCGAAGGATGTCGATAACACGCAATTGATACTCTTCTGGAAGAAACAAGATCTGGCGGGGATGGAAGGAGTCCCACCCAAGACCAGCCCCTTCCCCATACGAGTTACACACACGTCTCAACTGTTCCAGAGAGATAGGTGGTAATTCTTGTCCCAACACATCCCAATGAGCTGGGTGATCTTTGCTGAGCCTGCCTTCTTTGTGCCAGAGGGGAAGCCACTGCTCTAGAAGCTGGAGGAGCGCGAGCTCACCGTTGACTGGTAAGCGGCCGTGGTCGTCTACGACACTGAACGGGACCGTCCTGTCTGCGCGAGAAACCCTGGAATATGCATGCGCTGCCTTCCCTCCCCGCTGCACTGACGACTTAGCCCACTCCTTCCACTCCGATAGGGACTCCTTGGCGTCCAACTTTCGCAGGCCTTCTACATACTCTCGTAACTGCCCGAACAGCCCTTCTAACTCCTCTCTGAGCCCCATGGATATCCCTTCGACTAGGCTGACCAAAAATCGGACATTCGTGCCTTCGTCTGGCGCCTCCAGCGCCGAGATCATCCCGAACAGGGCGGCACACCATTCATGAAAAAGACCGCGAGCTCTGGCGCCTAGCATATCTGGGCCAACTGCAGCAGCTCGACGCGCCAACGCCTCGAAGGACATCCAACTGGTGGTCCGCTTTGAATATCTTCTCCTAGACTCTCGGTCCCAAACCGTCTCGAGGGGAACCTTAGTGACTTTAGGCCCCCCAGCTCTTCCACACGTCCTGGCCGCGCTAGCACTGTCTAGGTCGTGGCACTGCACGAGCCAGCCCTCGGCCTGGGTGAACCATTCCCTGACCATGGACCCCAAACAGTGCGAGCCTCCTCCAACTTCCCAAGACCACGTGCCTTCCGTAGGGAGCCTCCGAGGACCCACAAGCTTGTCCAAGGGGAACTGCGCATATCTAACCTGCTTCGGGACAACCGTCGACGGGGCCAGGTTCTTGACAACGATACCCACAGGCATATGAGGCCACGAGGGGGCTGCAGGGAACGCCAGGACCTCCTTGACGCAGTGCCCCAAACACCTGGACCCCACGAAGAAATCGATCTCCCGCTCATCCTTCCTGTCGAACTCCTCCTCGGGCCCTGAACTGGATCCTGGAGCGGGCCCTGATCGACACGTAGCGTGGCCCGTCGTAAACATACATCCCCCAACCTTGGACACCCATTCCGATGCTTCGAGTTCCTCAGGGGTGAGGTTCCAGTCCCCTTGCACGATCCAGAGGCAGGTGAGGGACTTGATGTACTCTCCGAGAGTGTTCAATACCTCAACGTTGTCCCCTGCGACTCCAATGCTGGTGTAGAGGTAGACCGAGAAGACCATCAACCCGCCTGGAAGTCCTACGTTGATGTGCCTGCTTGCCACTCGCGACTTGAAAGGTTCCAACTCGGGTGGCCTTGGCACACTAGAGGACGCCAGAGAGCTGGCCACTGCCAAGCCTACTCCTGCCGAGGACTGCGTCGGACCTGGCCCAGTAGACGCTGCAGGTCCTAGAGAAAAAGCGAAGGAGCGGCGATCGCCCCAGCCATAGGCGGAGTCCAACTTGCCCTTCTCCTTCAGCCGAGTCTCTTGCACGCAGATCACATGCGGCTTGACTGGTTCGCCTGAAGCCGACACCACGCCGAAGAGGTTCGCTTCTTGGTCCCTACACCAGTCAACCACATTAGTGAACGAGTCCCACGTGTTCGCATTCACTCCAAAGATGATCAGATCGCTGACGATCGTGCCCGCGTGGTCGACTCCTCGAACCACGCCGTCCTGACCTAGTTTTCCCTTTTTGCGTCCATCGCCAGGTGGGGACGAGAGATGGTGTAGCCCTTTCCGCTCGGAGGGCAAGTCTCCTTGGGCACCGTCGGGGCTAGCTTGACACACCGCTGCCCCTGCCGCAGGTGGAGGCAGACCGCCACATCCTTCCATGAAATCGCCCAGGCCTCCACCGAGAACACAGGGCCCATCACTTCCAGATGCGACGCAAGCCTGCAACGCACCATGCCCATGAACAGGAGGGGAGGAGAGGTGGCGCGGGCCTTTCCGCCCCACAGATGCACCTCCAGACGCCCTGGTACTTCCTCTCGACGTGGTGCCCGAAGACGCGGGAGCCGCCGACCCCGCGGTGGTACCCGAAGAAGATGTGGACTCGCGGGGAAGGCCCCCAGCCCCGTTGCGACCGAGGGGTCCCACCTCGCGCGACATAAGAGACAGTGACGCTATCGGGGTCGAGGTCGACCCAGCAGGCGATGTCCCTGGCCCTGACCCTCTTCGAGGGTCCTCGACCCGAGGGGGGGCTGCTCCGCGAGACCGTCCGTCTCTGTCCGAAGCTCCGTGGCCCAGGCGAGGCCACTGCCGTGGGTCCAGACCGACCCCGTCGAACTGGCGGAACAGCTCCGTGTCGAAGATGAGGTCGTCCCTCCGCACTGGGACTGCGAAACCCGTCGCCTGCTCCCAGTCGAAGTCGATCACGTTGCCCCTGGTGAACGCGTCGAGGTCGGCCATGCCGACGCCCGCCCACGCCGCTGGCACGGGGGCACTGGTCGCCACTGGGTCAGTATCAGCCCGCTCTCTGCCGTCACCCTCGACGCGCCTTCTTGGCCGTGTGCTCGGCGAGCAGCTTGGCCACGGCTGCAGACGTGTCCCCTTCGCCGTCCATGGCGCGCTTGAGGGACTCCTGGAAGTCGGCCTCCAGGAAGTCGGACTCGTCCATGGGGACGGCCTGGTGCTCTCCTCCATTCCCAGGGGCATCCTCTGCCTGGCTCCCAGCACCAGCACCATGATCGCCAGGAGGGCCTGGGCGAACGTCCTCGTCCTCTGTCGCCTGCTTGGCTGCCTCCGCCTCCGCAGCCGCCTTGCGCTGCAGCTCCTCGAGGACAGCAAGGGCATCCTTTCCTTCCTGCGTGGACAGCACCGCAGGTTCCAGCCCCGCCGTGAGCACCTTGAGAGGGTTCTCGTGCTCACCTGCCTGGAGCTTCGCCAGCACTCCTCGGGCGGCGACGAGGTCCGCCTTGGCCTGGTCGATCCCCTTCTGGATGCCGTCCAACTCCTCGTCGAGGGCTGCCCTCTGCTCGTTGATGACAACGCAGCGGGCCTCTGCCTTCTGGATCTTCTTCTTGAGGTTCTCCACCTTCCACCAGGCCGACATTGTGGTGGGCGGCTTGGGCGGCGCCGTAGCCTTGGTCTGCGCTGCCGCCAGGACCGCAGCATGGGCGTCCTCAAGGCCCTCACTCTTGAGGAACTCCGCCACCAGCTCATGAGAGAGCCCTGCAGCAGCCGCTGGCGCCTCGCCCTTGGCCTTCGGCGGGCCGCCTCCAGCAGGGCCCTGCCCCTTGCCAATGCCCTTCGCCTTGGCGCCCGCTGGCTGCTCGTGCCAAGGGGGCGCTGGCGGCGCCGGCTTGCCGCTGAGCTCCGCCACCTTGGCCCGCAGCTCCTGGATGATCCTCGCCTGCTCGGCCGCGACTGCCCCTCCTGGCGGCCCATCGGCCCAGGCTCCCTGAGCACGTTGCTTGACCGAAAACGAGGGACTCTGGGTAGCCGCAGCAGCTCTGCGCGCCGCCTGGACCACCTTTGCGGGTGCCGATGCCCCGCAGCTCCTGCACTTGACCCGATTCGCCCAGTTGTTCCAGCAGCCGCAAGAGCACCCCCAGTAGGGGGTGCGCGCGCCTGGCAGCACATCGGGCTGTGGAACCATGCGCCGCTCGCGGTGCGGTCGCTGGCTCCTCTCCGTGAAAGAACGAAAGGATGGCTCGCAAGCGCGAGCCGCTCTGAAGAACGCGCTTGCAAGCTCAGGCCACAACAGCCTGAGCCAGAACGGCTGGAGGGGGAGGGAGGAGGAGGTGGAGGAGGAGGAGGAGGAGCAGGAGGAGGAGGGGGAGGAGGAGAAGGAGGAGGAGGAGGAGGAGGAGGAGGAAGAGGAGGAGGAGAGGAGGAGGAGGAGGAGGAAGGAGATGGAGGAGGAGGAGGAGGAGGAGGGGGGAGGAGGAGGAGGCGGAGGAGGAGGAGGAGGAGGAGGAGGAGGAGGAGGAGGAGGAAAGAGAAGGAGGAGGAATAGGAGAAGGAGGAGCAGGAGCAGGAGCAGGAGGAGAGAGGGGAGGAGGAGGAGGAGGAGGAAGGAAGAAGAGGGAAGTGGGGAGGAGGGAGGGGTCTAGGGATGAGGGAAGGGAGGGGATGGGGGAGGAGGGGAGGAGGAGGAGGAGAAGGAGGATGGGAGGAGGAGGAGAGGAGGAGGAGAGGAGGAGGAGGAGGAGGAGGGAGGAGGGACCTGACTCCTACTACTCTCGCGGGTTTGTAGCGCGGGTGGGGAGAGGGAGGGAGGAGGGATGGGGGAGGAGGAGGAGGGGGAGGAGGAGGAGGAGGAGGAGGAGGAGGAGGAGGAGGGGGAGGAAGAGGAGGAGGATGAGGAGGAGGGGAGGAGGAGAGGAGGAGGAGGAAGATAGGAGGAGGAGAGGAGGAGAGGAAGGGGAGGAGGAGGAGGAGGAGGAGGAGGTGGAGGAGAGGAGAGGAGGAGGAGGAGGAGGAGGAGGAGGAGGAGGGAGGAGGAGGAGGGAGGAGGAGAGGAGGAGGAGGAGGAGGAGGAGGAGGAGGAGGAGGAGGAGGGGAGGAGGAGGAGGAGAAGGAGGAGGAGGGGCAGGAGGAGGAGGAGGAGGAGGCGGAGGAGGAGGAGGAAAAGGAGGAGGAGGAGGATAGGAGGAGGAGGAGGAGGGGAGGAGGAGAGGAGGAGGAGGAGGAGGGGAATAGGAGGAGGAGGAGAAGGAGGAGGAAGCAGGGAGGAGGAAGAGGGAGGGGGAGGGATTAGGGAAGAGAGGGGGATGAGGGAGGAGGGAGGAGAAGGGAGGAGGGAGGACGGAGAAGGGCGGAAGGATAGCTACCTCACCATCCCGCCCCGAAGCCGAGGCCCCTGCTCCGGCCGGCCGCCCGGTGGCACCACCAGGAGCAGCTGCGGTTCGGAGTGGCCTTGGACGCGGCCGCGGTAGATCGAAGCGCAGATCACAGGCCGGACGGCATCTCGGGAGGGCGGGTGCCGGTCACAAGGGCCTCCTCCTCCTCCTCCTCTCCTCCTCTCCTCCTCCTCCTCCTCCTCCTCCTCCCGTGCTGCTGCTGACCCCGCCCGCCTCCCTCTCTGCCTCCCCAGACATCCTCGCGTCACGGATCAGACTCGGCAGACGGCTCTGGGCCGTTTTCGGCAGCTGGGGGCCCGTGCTGTCACAAAACGACTCAGGACTCCGTGCCGGGCAAGGGGTCCACACCCCCACGGGGTCCACGTTGCAAAACAAGCACAGCGTCGGAGTTCTGGGTCCCTCCTCCTCCGTCTCCTCCGGGTCCACCATCCTCGTTCCTGCTGCTGCTCCTCATCCTCCTCCGCATTCCCCGTCCCTCCTCGGATGCACTCATGCTTCCTCGTGCTACTGCTCCTCCGCCGCCCAGGACCTGGTACAACGACGGCAGGTCACGCCCTGGTGCACGAGAGCTGTCCGAGAGCCAGCGACCTCCTCCTGCTCCTAGTCAGCGACCTCCTCCTGCTCCTACTCTCCGCCATCTCCACCTGCTCCTCCTCAAGCGCCTCCTGCTCTCTCCTCCTGCTCCCTCCTCCTCGTTCTCCGTTTCTCTCCTCCTGTGCCCCGCGCCCTCTCATCTCTCTGCCTGGTAGCACCCCTATCACTCCATAACTGCGTACCCGTGGAAACTTCTGTGTACAAGCACAACCACAGATGCATGCACAAGGTACGAAGACACATACGCACACACACTCCCACGCAAGGGGACTCGCGCGCTTGGGTGGCATGCAGGTGCGTAACACACATGAAGGTGCACGCAAACACATCGGCGTATAACTACACAAACATGCAGCTGCGCGCCACTATGAAGACCGATGGGTCGGCGCTCACCAGGAACATGGATCCCCAGAAACGGATCCCCCGGACCTTCTCCGCTTCAGCCTGGGTAGCGCGAAGCTCGCTGCGAACTAGTCACGCTCCTTCGTCTCCGAACTGTCCGAGCTCACTGAAACCTTGTGCGTGCGTCTTTTTGGCCGTGAGGTTGGCAGACACTAGTAGTAACGAGAGCGAATTGAATAACTACTAGGCGGGACAGAAATGTGGGCGAAGAACACAAAGTACAACTAGGCCTCTCTGATCGGCTTGCCCAAGCAAAATCGGCCCGCCCACAACACACACACAAGCACACACACACACACACACACTCCTCCTCGTCCTCATCTCCTGTTGGCCCGCTCGAGCAAAATCAATGCCCTTAGAGAAGGGTGCTCCTTCTGGCAACTTGTCCGAAATCTCCTCAACGCGCAGAGCGTCGCATATGCGGAAGAGCCGTAGGCGCTGGTCTGGGAGAAATCTGACCTCGTGCCCCGGGGGAGGGGCATGAGGGGCAGGATGGGGACTTGGTGCGGAGCGTGGGAGAATAAGGAAGAGGAGGCTCCAATTGCGCTGTCACGCCGCTTAGTTGCCGACCTGTCGTCTGACTGACATGCCTTATCAACGTGATTCGAGAGCCTGCACCTCTCGCCATGTCCAACTCCTTCTCTGTACCCGCCGCCTCGACGTTCAAAGAGGAGATCCTGGTTGCCGATATTGCATGTATGTCGCCAACATTCTACTGGTCCTTCCGCATGAGTGCGTGAGATGCTCTCTGAGTCCTCCCTGCCTCCTCGCTCTCTTCTCGTTGATCGCATTCTTCCTGAGCTGCACCTCCACCGTTCCTGCATTCAGACCACCAACCTCCTCCCGCAGAACACAAACGCTGCGCTATCCAAATATTGGACACGTGGTTCGGCTTCCCATTCGTACATCCGATGCCGCGCATGATTGCAGCGTGTGCTGAACCCGCCTCCCATCAAACTCATTGCACCTGCGCCGTAACCTCGTCGCACCTCCCCCTCCCGGATGATCCCTCCCGGGGTGCCCCCTGGCCAGAATTCCGAGGCGAGTCTGACCGTGGCGACCAGGACAAACACGCCCGAACAAGTCCACCTGGACGGTTTCCCCCGGGGCCGTAAGGGATCCGACGAGGAGGAGGAGGAGGAGGAGGAGGAGGAGGAGGAGGAGGTGGGGGAGGAGGAGATGGAAGAGAGGAGGAGAAGGAGGAGGAGGAGGAAGAGGAGGAGGAGGAGGAAGAGGTGGGGGAGGAGATGGGGGAGGAGGAGGAGGAGGAGGAGGAGGAGGAGGAGGAGGAGCAGGAGGAGGCGGAGGAGGGAGGGGAGGAGGAGGAGGAGGAGGAGGAGGAGGCGGAGGAGGAGGAGGAGGAGGAGGAGGAGGAGGAGGGGAGAGAGGAGGAGGAGGAGGAGGAGAAAGACGGGTCGCCTAAGCCCTCCGGAGAAACCCTCCACCTCCACCCTCGATCCTCGAAGGGCCCCGTCGAAAGCGGCTGCCCAGGCCCCCGACGCCGTGCCGGCGGCGGCGCGGGTCGCTCCCCGGCCAGCAGGGGTCTCACGTGGCCCCGAGCCCAGGCCCCCATTGTCGTGACTGTGATTGCAGCGTCGACACGGTCGTCCCGAGTCGTTCTGAGGAGGGCACCTTACCTGCAGACTGCGGCCGTTTTCGTTGCATGGCATCTCTCGCCCCCCCTCTGCCCCCCTCCGTGGTGGGTGGCACGCAGAGGGGGGGTATGGGGGGAGGGGGGAAGGCTCCTTAGAAGGCGCGGGCCTCACATCTAGAGGGGGGAGGGAGGAAGGCTCCTCAGAAGCAGGGGTGCTTCTAAGAAGCCTCCCTCCCCCTGGGTTCTCTGTTCTTTCCAGCGGGGGGGGGGGGGGCTGCGAAGGAGCAGGGTTGTTTCTAGGACGCCTTTCCAAGACGCCTCCCCCATCTCCCGCTGCCACCCCCCCTCTGCGCGCGGCGGACGCCCCTCTCCCCCCTCCGTGCGCAAGCAAGCCTGCCGGAGCCCAGGGGGCGACGGCCTTCCATCCAGGACTCCCGGCGTCGTGACTCCTCCACGACGCGTGGACGGCCCCTGGACTGGGCGCGCATTGAATGGGGGGCGTTAAAGGGGGTGAGAGACAAGATGCCATTTCGGACCCTGCAACCCTCCTCGAGATCCAGCGCAAATGTTGAATGTCGAACGTCGCGCGAAACGAGGCCCACGGGGTCAGATTTGTTGTATCTGCACTCGCCAAACGTCGGCGCGACCGCTCGAATTTGGGGGTCCTCGTGCGCCGCCACGTCGCGGGAAAAACTTGCATTTGATTTCGAGGGGTGATTTAGGAGCCCCCGCTGGGGCCCTCGAGGGCCCCCGTTCTGTAGCCCCCGCTGCCCCTCGATGACGCGCCCCCCGACCCGAAATCTGGCCACCTTCCCCAACCCGAAATCTGGCCACTGCCCCGATAATAACCTCCCCGACACGCGAAACCGTTTAGCAAACGCACCAACAAAAAGGATTCAAACAGGGCAGGCTGTTCGGTGAACGCCAAAGGCCGTCTAGTGAACGCCAATTGTCTGGTCTGGGTGGTTTTTCCTCCCTGGATTCCCCGAGACTGGTCTCCCCACATCCCGAAGCGTCCTTTGACGGTCCCCGGGGGCCGGCGAGGGCCGCGGGAAGCCGATATGTTAACGCTGCCAGACACCTCCCGTCGTGATTTCTGCCACGACCCCTGACCACCTCGAGTCATGAGAGAATCACGGCGGGAGGTTGTTCGCTCTTTTCGGCCTCTGGGGGCCCTTCCTGGGCCTCGGGACCGTCAAACAACGATTCAGGACGAGAAGCTGGTCCCGGGGAATATAGACGAGCGCGTTCCACTACTCGCAAGGTAGCCAGTCGCAAATGGCCTGGATCCGCCGCGGGGGATCTACGATAAATTACATTGAAGCAAACATTTTTTTTCGGGCGTTTGCGAGTAGGCACTTTGCGAGTAGTGGAACGCGCTCGATGAGATTAGGTTCGGAACTTTGGGAGCCGCGTCACTCAACACTCAGGGACGTCGGGCGTCTGGGACGCGAGGGGGTCTGGGCACACGCCGAGGGAGGTCGAGCACTGGCCGCTGTGCTCTGTCCGCGGCGCGAGCTAGGCTGAGCGGCGGGCGTGCCTGAGGGGCCGAGGGCCGGGAGCCCCACAGGGGCGGGCTGCCACAGGGTCCGACACCGTGCCGGGGCGCCCGTGGCGTGCTTCTCCCTGCATCCTGATGTTGTGGCTGTTGTTGTTGTCGCTGTTGTTGTTGTCGTCGTTGTTGTTGTTGTGGTGGTTGTTGCTGTAGTTGTTGTTGTGGTTGTTGTTGTTGTTGAGTTCTCACTACTGCATGATAATGATTGTTGGTCCCCCCTCTGGTGACCTTTGTGCTTTTTCAACTGCAGTGCTTCCCCCGGGGCTCGCACCCTGTTTTTTCGATCAGGGAAAACCACTAGGCTCAAGCTGTGCCCCTGGCCGCCGGATTACAACAACAGCGGCTCCCGTCTGATACTTCCTCACATTTGTTTCCCACATCGCGCTTTCGCGCGGGAGGTACTCACAATTCGTATACGAATCGCGCTCTGGCGTTGGACTTCCGTTCGATTTATTCAGACGATGTGCCCTCGGCGCTCAAGAATCACGCTCTCGCTGTGGCTGTTCGGGAAACGCGCTATCGCTTGCGATTTCCTTGCGATTCCTGCAGGACCCACGCTTCAGCAACCCGCCTGCTCGACCTGGTGGCCTGGGCCCGCCTTCCCGACCTTCCCGCTACGGGTCTGCCCACCCGATCTGCCCGTCTGGTTCTGCCACTTGTTTTCTGCTCCTTGCCCCCCTCCTGTTAATTTCTCTCGTGATCCATTCTTCTCCCTCCCCCTTCCACCCGTCTTCGCCTCCCTTGTTTAAGGGGCTGCACTACATGCGCTCGGCAAGTAAGGAAGATATGCCCCCAGGGGAAAACGATCGAGGATGACGAGGGCGGGTATCGAGGGATTGGGATAGAAGTCTTCATTGGCACGTGAGCAAATAGGAGCGAACAGTCTTACAATTATTGTTGTCCTCGCCGTTCTTGTTGAACTCTCACTACTGAGAGTAATTATTTGTGATGCCCCCTCCGGTGAACATGGTGTTTTTCAATTGAAACGCTTCCCCCCGGGCTCGTACCCAGATTTTTCCCCACCTAGGCTCTGCTTAGAAGGGTTCTTACTCGGTAAACTTAAAAGGCCGGGCAGTGTTCCCCGCCCCGGGCGGTTCCCCTGGCATCCGCCCCGCGGTTCCCCCAGTTGCGTCCCCTGGGTTCACCCAGCTTAGCTTCGCTTAGCTTAGCTTAGCTTTGCTTAGCTTAGTTTAGCTTAGCCTATCTCATCCTAGCTTAGCTTGGCTTGGCTTAGCTTTGCCTGGCCTAGCTTAACTTAGCTTTAGCTTAGCTTATCTCATCCTAGCTTAGCTTAGCTTAAGTTTAGCTTAGCTTAGCTTGGCTTAGCTTTGCTAAGCTTAGCCTAGCTTAGCTCAACTTAGCCTAGCATAGCTGAGCTTACCTTAGCTTAGCTTCGCTTAGCCTAGCCTAGCTTAGCTTAGCTTAGCACTAGCACAGCACAGCATAGCTCAGCATATCATATCATAGCATTGCAAATCATAGCGCAGTATATCATAGCATAGCACAACATAGCATATCAGTTCGATGCATAGCACAGCATGGCATATCATAGATGTAGATGTAGATGTAAGTGTAAATGTAAAAGGGAGTCTCGCTGTTGATGTTGTTGTTGATGTAGATGCAGGTGTACATGTAAATGTAGCTGTCGGTGTAGATGTAGATGTTGCTTTCCTAAATGCTCCAACCCCTAGGTAGGGTCGCACTGGGATAATTTAACATGGAAAATCACTCGGCTCAGACTGGGTTGTTGGCCCCCCAATTACAACAACACCAACAACAACAATCATTTTAAGACTGTTCGCCCTTATCTGCTCGAGTGTCCAATAACGCGTATTTCCCAAACCCTCGATACCCGCCCTCTTCGTCTTCGATCGAACCCTTTTTGGGGGGTACACCTTTCTTCCCTGCAGGCCGGGCCCCGGCAAGCAACGGGGCAGCCGCGGACCGTCGGCCTGGCCAGCGGCAGCGCTGATCGGCGGGGCGGCCGCGGACCGTCGATCCGACCCCAAGAGGGACGGACAGGGGACCGACCACGACGACGACGACGTCGACGACGACGGCGACGACGACCACGGCGACGACGAGCGAAAGCGAAAGCGAGAGAGAACGACAGCAGGGCCACGAAGGACACGAAGTAGGCCACGAAGGGCGACAGCGGGGACACGAAGGGAATGCGTATGGGGCCACGAAGAGTGCGAACGAGCGGGGGCCACGAAGGGCAGATAATGCGGGGCCACAGAAGGCAAAAATGGGACCACGAAGGGCAGCAACTGGGCCACGCAGGACATTGAGGGGGCCACAAATGGCGACAGCGGGGCCACGAAGGGCATGCACATGGGGCCACAACGGGCGCGACTCCTGGGTGCCTGGGTGTCGGAAGCGCGGCGCCTGAGCAAATTGCAAGAAATTCTAACGCAAGGGCGCTATTCGTCAGTAAATTGCAAGCGAGTCTCCAGCGAGAGCGCAACTCCAGAGCGCCGGGAGGGCGATTCCTGAATAAATTGCAAAGAAGTCCCAAGCGAGAGCGCGATTCCGGAATACAATGCCAGGAAGTCTCGGGCGGGAGCGGGGGTCCTGGCTAGATCGTGAAGAAGTCTCAAGCGGGAGCCGTTGTTGTTTTAACCCAGGGGCCAAGGGCCCAGTTTGAGCATCAAGACTTTCCCTGCTAAAAAACAAGGTCCGAGCGTCGAAGGGCACACTTTGATAGAGAAAAAGCAATATGCACCGGTGGAGGGGGACCAACAATAATTATTCTTCAGAAGTGAGAATTCAACAACGGCTCCCGCGTGAGCCTCCCGTACAATTTGCCAAGATCCCCGCTCCCGCCTGAGACTTCCTCGCATTACACTCCGGAATCGCGCTCTCGCCTGGGACTACCTTGCAATTCATACAGGAAGCGTTTTCTTGGCGCCCTGGAGTCGCGCTCTCGCTGGAGACTCGCTTGCAACTTATTCAAGAATCGCGCTCTTGCGTTGGACTTCCCCGCCATTTATTCAAGCGCCGCGCCCCCGACACTCAGGCACCCAGGAGTCGCGCTCACGCTTAGGACTCCCTCATAACTTACTTAGGAATCAGGATATCACTGCCCTTCGTGGCCCCGTTGCAGCCCTTCGTGGTCCCCTCGCTGAACCTTCGTGGACCCGTTGCAGCCCTTCGTGGCCCCCTCGCTGCCCTTCGTGCCCCCGTTGCAACCCTTCGTGGTCCCCTCGCTGAACCTTCGTGGCCCCGTTGCAGCCCTTCGTAACCCCCTCGCTGCCCTTCGTGGCCCCGTTGCAGCCCTTCGAGGCCCCCTTGCTGCCCTTCGTGGTCCCGTTGCAGCCCGTCGTGGCCCCCTCGCTGCCCTTCGTGGCCCCGACGCACCCCTTCGCGGCCCCCTCGCTGCCCTTCGTGGCCCCGTTGCGCCCTTCGTGGCCCCCTCGCTGCCCTTCGTGGCTCCGTTACACCCCTTCGTGGCCCCCTCGCTGCCCTTCGTGGCCCGGTATATGCCTGCCCTTCGTGGGCCCCGCTCATTCGCGCCCGTCGTGGCCCCATACGCATGCGCTTCGTGGCCCCGCCGTCGCCCTTCTTGGCCCCCTCGCTGCCCTTCGTTGCCGCGTTGCCGGCCTCAGTGGCCCCGCCCTTGACCTCTGTGGCCCAGCGTGCGCATGCCCTTTGTGGCCCCCGCTCGTTCGCGCCCGTCGCGGCCCCATATGCGTGCCCTTCGCGGCCCCGCTGTCGCCCTTTGTGGACCCCTCTCTGTCCTACGTGGCCCCGCTGCTACCCTCAGGAGCCCCCTCGCTGCCCTCCGTGGCCCCGCATTACCTGCCGTTCGTAGCCCCCGCTCATTCGCGCCCTTCGCGGCCCCCTCGCTGCCCTTCGTGGCCCCGCTGTCGCCCATCGTGGCCACCTTCCTGCCTTTCGTGGCCCCGCTCCCGCTCTCGCTCTCGCTTTCGCTCGTCGTCGTCGTCGTCGTCGTGGTCGCCGTCGCCGTCGCCGTCGCCGTCGCCGTCGCCGTCGCCGTCGCCGTCGCCGTCGTCGTCGTCGTCGTCGTCGCCGTCGTCGTCGTCGTCGTCGTCGTCGTGGTCGGTCCCCTGTCCGTCCCTCTTGGGGTCGGGTTGGCGCCGATCAGCGCTGCCGCAGGCCAGGCCGACGGTCCGCGGCCGCCCCACCGCTTGCCAGGGCCCGGCCTGCAGGGAAGAAAGATCTACCCCCTAAAAAGGGGTACGATCGAAGACGAAGAGGGCGGGTACCGAGGGTTTGGGAGATAAGCATTGAACGACGCTCGAGCAGATAAGAGCGATCAGTCTTAAAATGATTGTTGTTGTTGGTGGTGTTCTCTTCGTCTTCGTCGTCACCATCGTCGCCGTCATCGTCGTCGTCGCCCTCGTGGTGGTGGTGGTGATTGTGATGGTTGTTGTCGTTGAAATTGTTGTTGCTGTTGTTGATGTTGTTTATAATGGTGTTATTGTTGTTGGTGCTGCTGCTGGTGTGGTTGCTGTTGCTGCTGTTCCTGATGATGGTGCTGCTGTTGGTGGTGTTGATCTTCTTGTCGTTGTTGGTGGTGTTGTTGTTACTCAGACACCTCCGGCCCAACTTCTCCTCCTCCTCCTCCACATCCTTCCTGGCCCAGGCCCATTCATACTCACGCCCACTCCTACCCAGACTCACCCACACTCAGATTCACTCACGTCCTCTTCTTCCTCACCCAGCTTCGCTCACACTAAGACTCACTCACACTCAGGCTCACTCTCACTTAGACTCACTCATGTTCAGCCTTACTCACACTCAGTCTCACTCGCATTTAAACTCACTCCTACTCAGACTCACTCACACTCGGACTCCCTCGCACTCAGAGTAACACTTTTTCCGCGGGGACGTCTCAGCCGAATCGCTGGTTTCAAGAACCCAAGAGGGAGCCGCCAGGGGTGTTAGCGCGGACCTGTTCGAGGCCAAATTGTGGAAATGTCTGGGGCGGTTTGCCTGTTTCGTCGCTTGGGCTTGTCTGCTTTCAGTCCTGACTGCAAGGACGCCTCAGCAAAATCGTTGGTTTCAACACCACACGTGGGAGCCGCCAGGGGTGGTTGCACGGACCCGTTCGAGGCCAGATTGCGGGAATGTCTCAGGCGGTACGCCTATCTGGTGGCTTGGACGTGTCGGATAACAAAGCGGATTATGATGATGTCTCCAGCAACCCGCTGGCGTCAGCACCCCAAGGTGGAGCCGCCAGGGGTGGGTTCGCATCCCTGTTCGTGACCAGATTGTGGGGATTCCTCAAACTGTGTGCCTGTTTTGTGGTTTGGACTCGTCTGCTGTCAGAACAGGTGGTGAGAATGTTTCATGCGATTTGCTGGCTTCAGCACCCCAAGGGGGTAGTCGCAATGGGAGTGGAGATGTCTCAAACGGTCTCTGCCGTCAGATCAGATTGCGAGGATGTCGTCAGCGAGGCGCTGACTTCAGCACCCCAGGGGGGGCAGATTGTGAGGATGCCTCGAGCGAGGCGCTGGTTTTGATACCCCAAGGAGGCACCACCAGGGAGCAGAGTTCGACAATGTTTGAGCAAGGCGCTGGCCTCATCGCCCGAAGGGGGAGCAACCAAGGAAAAGGACACTCGCCCATTCACTACTGCATGTTTAGCATGTGTCGAGCGAGGCGCTCGCGCTGCACTCCAGACTCCTGCCGCTTCGGAGCCCCAGGATCACCCCAGTCGAAGGAACAAAAAGGCGGCCACACGGGAAGAGCATGGAGGACGGAGGAGGACCCAGGAGGACGCGGAAGGAGGGAGACTGGAGGAGGGAGGGGGAGAGCGGAGGGGCTGCGGCGAGGAGGAAGAGGAAGGAGCCGCCAGGAAGGGGGGGCACTTGCCGTCGAGGAGGAGTGAGGACAGAGGAGGAAAGAGGACGAGGATAATGAAGAGGAAGGAGGACGCAGGAGGGGGGAGAAGGACGGCCACCAGAAAAGATGAGAGAGGACGGAGGAGGAAGGAGGCGGCCCCAGGAGGAGGGACAAGGAAGGAGGACGAGCAGGGAGGGGTACGTACGACGCGGAGGAAGTGGACGGAAAAGGGGAGGGACCTGCTCTTCGGATCTTTGTGAGTCGCTGCTGTGTTTGTCGTCGCTGTCCCTCATCGTAGCCGCCGCCACCGCCGCCGTCGCCATCGCCGCCGTCGTCCTCGAAAACATCGTCCAAGAGGACTCGCTCTCACACCCGGGCGCTCACAACCAGAAACTCACAGCGGGACGTGCCAGGCAAGGAGGTTGCACATCTGGGGATCCATGTGTCGAGTAGTTTGTTTTAGCGTGTGTGTGTGCGTGTGTGTGAGTGAGTGAGTGAGTGAGTGAGTGTGTGAGTGTGTGTGTGTGCGTGTGTGTGTGAGTGTGTGTGTGTGTGTGTGGGTGGGGGGGGGGGGCGTGCGTGCGTGCGTGCGTGCGTGCGTGCTTGCATGTGCGTGTGTGTTTTTTCTCGGACGCCAGGGTCCGAGTGTCCTCTTCCATTCAGTCAGCGGTGGAGACATAACCCTACTTGGATCACCGCGGGTGTTGCTAAGGGGATGGGGGTTTTCAGTGAAAGCCACGGTGGGTTATGTCTAGTTTATCCAAACCTGTCAGTGGGTGGCAAGTGACCTAGGTGGCGGTGAGGGGTTAGATAACTCCCCTACGGGGGGCGGAACCCCCTGAGTCCAGATCTTTCACCCTTAAGCCGTTTAGGGCACTCGTGCACAACCTCTAGTCTAGCTCAGGCGAGATAGAACCCACCTTAGCATCCACTACTACCCCCTATCCACTCTGCACCCCCTGCGATGATCCAAGTATCCTCAGGCGATCGTCCAGGACTTCCTGGCCTCCCAGGAAGGCCCTCGTCGAGGCGGAGAAGACGCACCGAGGCCCCGAAGGCCTCGAGTAGCTCTGGCGACGATCCGAGGACGACAAAAACGGCGACGCCGACTACGATTAGGTCGGGCATGTCCCCCTACAGGCGGGCTTTGGTCAAAAGGTTAAACATATCCCATGAATGCTGCAAAAAACATCAAAAGTAGTAACAAAAATCGTCCCCTGACTATCTTTTGACTATTTTTGAAAATATTCCTCCTGTAGAGGGACAGGCCCGACTTAGGACTACGACGACGTCGCGGCGGCCACGGCGGTGGCGGGGACGACGGTGGCGACAACGACGGCGACGGCGGCGACGACGATGACGACGACGACGACGGCGGCTGCCGCGAGGCGAGGCGAGGGCCCACCGCAACGAAGGGGTCGCACACGCAGCCGGCGCACGCGTGCGGCGGGGCGACTGGCGTGCTGTCCTGAGGCAGCCGCGGGCGCGCCGCTCGTCATCGCCGCCGCCGCCTTCGTCGTCGCCGCCGCCGCGGTGCCGTCGCCATCGTCGTCGCCGCCGCCGTCGGCTTCGTCGCTGCCGTCCCCGCAGCTGCCGCGTCGTCGTCATCGTCGACGCCGCGACGTCGTCGCAGTCGTCGTCGCCGTCGTAGCCGCCAGCGTCTTGCCGTCGTCCTCCTCGATGGTTTTCGGAGGCTGCCATTTTTTGGTCCGTGTGGCTCTACGAGTTCTTCGGGCCAAGACAATATCTTCAGCACCTGCGACTTCTGGAAAGCCTCCCTGGGAGCCTGGGAGCTCGAGTCGTCCCGAAAGACCGCCAGGGGTCGCCATCGCCATCATCGTCGTCGTCGCCCCATTTCTTCCTCATCGTGAACCTCCTCCGCCTCCTTCTCCTCCTCCTCCTCCTCGCCCTCACCGTCCTCTTCCTCGGTCTCTCTGATCCTACTCATGTTCCTCCTCCTCCTCGTCCTCCTCTTCCTCCTTCTCCTCCTCCTGACCCTCTTACTCCCCCTCCTCGTTCCGCTGTAACAGAAAGAGGGTGGGGAGGGGCACGGGGACCGGGTGGTGCTGGGGAGTGTACCGGGAGAGCAGCTGAAAAGGGGAGTGCGGAAGGGACGAAGGAAGGAAGGGGGGAGAGGGGAGGAGAGGGATGGGACGGGAGGGGGACGCCAGATGGGAGAAGGCAGAGGCGAACGGAGAAATATTGTGCTTGTTTGTGATTTGTTCATCGTTCTCTGCTGCATCGGCGGGTAAGACTAGCACAAGCCCGGCACCGAGAAATACGGGCCGGCCCTCCCGGGCAAAATCCCACCCGCCCTCTGGGCGCAGGTGGTCTAGAGCGCTTCCTCTTCCAACCCTCTTCTTCCGCTTCAGGGTGGGGCTTATCACTGCTCCCCTTCGGGGTGGGGTTCGCATTCAGAGCATGCGCGGCCGCCCCGCGACCACTTCGTATTGATATTTTACAACGACGGCCGGGGTGCCGGCATATCCCACCTGCCCGCCAGTCGGCGCCCCGCCCGGCTGCTCGACCCAGCCGCCGTCCACGTGCGGCCGCCCTCCGCGGGAACGCCCACCTCTCCTGTCGCAGTCGAGCCGTAGCTGGCGGGACTACGATTGTCCCGTCGGGACCTTTGCATTGGTATTTGACACAGCCTCTTCGGGGGTTCCAACCTTTGATCCTTTGGCCCAGTGCTACTTCTGTGTTGGGAGTGCGGGTGGGAGTGAACAACACGGCTTGCTCCTTGTAGGAGTCTTGACCCCTCCACAATTACTCAATATGAATACCACTCTCTCTCTCTCTCTCTTCCCCTGATGACGGCTTGAAAGTGTTAGCCCCCCCCCTGCGTACTGTTTTTGTGCACGCAGGATTCCCCAGAGTTGGGTTTCCGCCCGCATGTTTTTCCAAAGTGCTGCTCTCGCTGAGGCGCCAGCCTCATTTTCAGGCCCCGCTCGTTCCGAATCGTGCTCCCGCTGCAGCGCTGGCCTCATTTCCGTGCTTCCGCTCGTTCCGAATCGCGCTTCCGCTGCAGCGCTGGCCTCATTTCCGCGCTTCCGTTCGTTCCGACTCGTGCTCCCGCTGCAGCGCTGGCGTCATTTCCCGTGCCATGCCACGGCATGCCATGCAATGCTAGGTTGATACAACGCTTTGCGGTGCTCTTCTACGCCATGCCATGCCGTGTTCTACAATGCATCGCGTACCCTTTCGGGGTTGCCCTGCTCGACATCCGACTGTGCGAGTAGAGAGGGGATCTACGCCATGGTAAGGGATGGGAGGGAGGGGTAGGATGTCTGATATGACGCGAGCGCACCTAGCTTGCCCTACCCCCTCCCCTGGACCTGGACGGGGAAGGCGGCGAGGCGCTGGAATGTCCAATATGGCCCAAGAAGGGCCCAAGAGGGCCCCTGAGAGCCCAACGTGAGCTCCAAGATGGTTCAAGATAGCGCACGATGCCTGAAGATGGCCCCCAAAATTTCCAAAAACACAAGAACGTTCCAAGTTGGCCCCACAAGGCTTCCGAAACCTCCAAGGAGGCCGCCAAGAAGTCTGAGGACAATTGATGATGCGTGCTTTGTCGCCTTTTCGCTTCCGATGGCCATCCAAGGTTCCAAGATGGCTCCAAGATGGCCCAAGAAGGCCCCATGAGAGGCCCAAGAGAGCCCCAAGACGGCCCCAAGAGCGCCCAAGAGCGCACCAACAGGCGACTTCTGGGGCTCCTGAGGGGGGGGCCAAATTGAGGCTCACCTCATTTTTGACCGATGTCCTCCAAGATGGCCGCAAGAACGCCCCTCAAGCTTCCCAGAGCGCCCCAAGAGGGCCCCAAAAGGCGCCCGGGCGGCCCCAAGAGGCGCCCAACAGGCTCCAAGAGGCTCCCAAGAGACCCGCAAGAAGCCTCAAGAGGAACCCAAAGGCACCAAAGACGCTCAAAGACGGCCCTGGGCTCGCCAAGATGCCTCTTCTCTTCCTCTTCCTCCTCCTCCCCCTCCTTGTCCACTGTCTCTTCCTCCTTCCTCATCTTCGTCCTCCTCCTCCTTCTCCTCATCATCTTTCTCCTCCACCATCCTCCCCCTCTTGGGGTAACGCGCGGCACCCCCCGCCAGTTGCTCTTCTGCATGCTCCCCCACTTCCCTGATCACCATAACATCCCCTGGGCACCGTTTCTGGATGGGCTGGTGGGGGTACTTTTTGATCGCGACCGCGGCGAGACAGGTCGGGCGGCGCACAGGAACGAAGCGCAGATGCATCGGCCTAAGTTAGCGCACAGGAGGAGGAAGTCGAACAGAGGAAGAGGACGAGCGCGGAAGAGAAACGACCAAGCGGGGAAGGCAACCAGGAGGCGAGCCTCGCTGCCGCTCAAAAGACGGCGCGCACCTGGAAGAGCTTCCAGGCGAAGTGCATCACCAGGATAGTGAGATTCGAGGGCAGCCCCGCGTCCACGTAGAAGACCACCAAACTAGACGAGCAGCGAGACCACGACGAGACGTCGGACCGCAGAACGTAAGACAAGGCTGGTGGGGATACTTTGGTCAACAGGCTCGCGAAGCGGGCCGAAAGCCGTCCGAACATTAGTCGGGCCGCGACTAGGCAGCAGGTAAAGAAAGGCAAGCGAAGCGAGCGAGCGGGCAGCCACTCAGAAGGAGAGCCCGAACCGATACTCCCCAAACCCGGTGGCGTTGGAAATCCAGGTGGCGACTAGCAAGTAAGCGCAGCCAGAATGGCGCGGCGGCGCGACCATAAACACGCAGAGGTCGATCGCTCGGTGCAAATCAGGCAAACAGCAAACTGCTGGTGGGGATACGCGAAGCGTCAACAGGATCTCTGGCGAGCACACACCACCGTGCACGTGCACAATGATCGCCATGCTGGGCAATCTCCGAGCCTCTGGGAAGTCCCCACCGAAGATCGGTGGAAGCCTGCGACCGCCCTCAAACAACTCATCGGGGACCTCCGAGCCTCCGAGCCCGGACACCCGACGTCGCGATTGTGAGGCCAGTTTTCTCTAGATCCCGGCGAGCTTGCTGTGTGGAGAGGGGGGGGGACGCCGCGAGGCCCAAGAGGAAGTCTGGGTTTCACGCAAGTCAAGACTCAATTGCACGCCTTGCGGCCCAACGCCGTTTGAAGAGTCGGCGGAGGGGGACGGGAACGCCTGAGCCTACAATAAAAACGTCCCCTTTCCACAGCGCAAGACCCCGAATGTCTCCACCCCTTCCACAATACGTGCGTCAAACCCGCACCTTTTCTTGACGGTTCCAAGGCCTGGCAATGGCCCCAGAAACACGTAAATTACCCCTAACACCGTGATTAGTTGTTTGTTCGATGTGTGGGCCCCCAGACCTCTCGAGTCCTTCCCCAGGGCCAGTTGTTCGCCCACGCTCGAAACCCGAGTCTGGATGCACAGACATTGAAACAAAAGGGCCGCCTCGATTTGTCTTGCGGCGCGGATGTCTGGGGGGGGGGTCTGCTTGGATGACCGCGGGGGCTGCCACACGGTGATATTGGGGTTATGGATGAATTACGAAGTGGGGTCGAGCTAGCCTATATGCTGAGTGGGATAGATAATTCCCCCTAGTCTGGGGGGTAGCTTTCGGGGTTAACCCTGCCATAAACGCCTTCGGGGTGTTGGATAGCTTCGCCAAGTGGGCGGATCCCCCTTTCCCCGGATCCTCTACCTCCCTGAGCCACATACGGCACCTGTAACCCACTCCTAAGCTACTTCAGACCAAATGAAGCCCACCTCCCCCGACCACGAACGTCATGATTTCTTTGCGACGTGGGCCCCCAGATCGACCCATGCCCTAGGACTGGTGTTTCATGCTGGGTCATTGTCTGACGGTCCAGGGGCCCGACGAAGGCCACCCGAGGCCGAACACAATAAAAAGCCTCCCGTCGTGATGTGTTCATGATCCGAGAGGTCTGGGTCAGCATCCACTTCTAGCCCTCCCCTGTCCCCTGGTGACAACCCCCGCAGTGATCCAAGTTGGAGCCTCCGAACTCCATCGAGAGAGCCTTTGGAAGGCTGCAGCGGCGGCGCTGGCCGCAGCCCCGCGGCGTCGACCGCAGCTGCACTGCCGCGGCCGCGCGGCCCGCCGCAGCAAGCGCAACTTGGATCGCCGCGGAGGGTGAGGAATCCTGGGCCTGGAAGCTGGTGGAAGGCTAATAGAAGCTTTGCCATGGATGCCGCGGCTGCCTTCAAAAGATAAAGAATTCTCCAGGGACTGAAGCCTCCTGGGAGCATTCCTTAACGAATCGCCCACCTTCGTATCCACTGGTAGCATATAGCCCTTCGATCCCCTTAGCGATCCCCGACGTAATCCTAGACAGGCCATTGCCGCGGTGGCCAGCGGGAGGCAGAGAGAAGCCTGAGTTCCAGAGGGGCCTTCGCCGGGCCTGGGGACCGTCAGAAAACATATCGGGATCACACGCTTGTCCTGGGGGAAGTGTCGCGGATCTCTGGGGAGGGGGACCCTCCTTGAATCACTGCGGATGCTGTTGAAATGAGCAAGGGGGTTATAGGTGGATGCTGGGAGGTGCTGCATCTTACCTCACCTGACTTGTAATCTCATTCTAATTGAAAGGGGAATCGGCATCTCCGCAAATTGGTGGGCGGAGTCCACTTAGACCCGACTACTACCCCCCTTGATCCCATGGTAGGTCGAGGAGGAACGAGGAACGAGGTTCGAGGCGTCTTGGCTGCAATTTGGCTCGGCCGACATGTGTACACAATCTTTGGCACGATGAGCAACAGCAGACGGTGCCCAAAACTGACAGCGGCCGCGGTTGGGTGGGCGACTGTTTGCCCCGAGCGGACCGCGCCCGTGGCGACACCGATAGCCCCCCCCTCCCATCCCCTCAAAGTGGGCAGGGACTGCTGTCGGTCTTCGCTCCCCCGTGCCAATTCCCGGAGCCTGATGTTGCAGCCCGTTCACACCAGGCGTTGTCGCCCCAACTCGGGACCGCGGGCCCGTCGCGGAACTCAGCGGGCTCGAGACACGCCTCAAAAAACCGAGCTCCGAGGCTGCGGCCGTGCTCTGCGACGACAACATGCACACGCCGTCGGATCCCAAGGCTCCCAAGAACCCAACCCACTGCTTCTGTCGGCACAACCTCCAGAAGTCCCGACCCTTTTCGCCGGGACGGCTCTTCATCCCGAGTCGTTCTCTGACGGCCCCAGGGCCCGGCGAGCGCCCCCGGGGAGCCCGACAACAGGCATTAAACCTCCACAGTGCTCCGAACACTCCTGTGGTGCTGGGTCCTCGTTTTGAAAAGACAGCGCCCCGCATCTCACCTCCTCCCGCCCTCCTCCCTCCGCCCATCCGTGCCTCTGCCTTCGCGTGCCCCAGTTTCGGCACACCCCTCACGAGGATCGTGGCCTCACGAGGGGAGCTCCACCGACGACCTCAGAGGCTATGCTCGCATGGCGGCACCGCGCCAGTTTCGGCACACCCCTCACGAGGACCGTGGTCCGATGGGGAGCTCCACCGACGGCTCCAGCAACTGCGTTCGCACGGCGGCACCGCGCCCATTTCGGCACGTCCTTCACGAGAAGCGTGGCCCCATGGGGAGCTCCACCGACGGCCCAAGTGGCTGCGTTCGCATGGTGGCACCACACCCATTTCGACACACCCTTCACAAGGATCGCGTCCCCATAAAGGGGCTCCACTGACGGCCCCAGTAGCTGGGTTCGCACGGCGGCACCGCGCCCATTTCGGCACACCCCTCACGAGGATCGTGGCCCCATAGGGACACACCGAAGGCCCCAGCGAATGCGTTCGCATGGCGGCACCGCGCCGATTTCGGCATACCCCTCACGAGGATCGTGACCCAACTGAGAGCTCCACGGAAGCCAATACCCTCAACGCGGTACTCACAACTGCATATGGTTGGGCATTTCGCCAGGACAACTCTTTTGTCTAATGCGCTGGAGGTCTGTATGGGTGACCCAAAAAGGGGTCCAGCTGAAACGGGGTGGTGCACTAATTGAATTTGGGGCAATTGTCTTTCAAATGTATTACGCCGGAGAATTGTACTGCATTGCGTTACCTTGCGACGAATGCACTGCACGCGAAAATCCTGTGATACATCTGCGCACCGGAATGTCTTGCGCGCCCCAAGTCTGTCGCAACCCCACGGTTCTCTTGCACCAGATCTGTCGCAAGACCCTCTTTTCGATGGACCCTCTTCTGGGCCGACCAGCTCCGCCCGGACAGACCTTCTGCTCCAAGCACTGGAGGTCTCGGGGGATCCGGCGGTCTTCGCGTCACGGCTGGGGCCTCCGGCGGCCGTCCGGGGCGACGCCCCCAAAACGCTCCACGGCGAGGCTTTACATGCCCCAGAGGTCACGGCCCTTTCCCCAGGCCCAGAAGTTGACACCAGCACCAATATCGGCGGTGTGCCTCCACCGAGGGAAGAAGATCCCGATCTCGATGATGGTGCAAATACTCAGGCTTCCAAGGTGACCGAAATATTACCACCAACACCGACATCTAGGATCATCTTCCCCCTGTGGAGGCAAACCCCTGTGTTGGTGTTAGTGCCCATTTCCAGGCCTCCAACCTTTTTTTAGGGGTTGAGGAGGGCCTGACTGTTCCTTTAGGCCTACCACGAAATTTTCTTTGAACCCAAAAATGCTCTAAAACAGAAACCAGGACCTTATGCCATAAACCGCTAAAACAAGACAGCCTCAGTCAGAAATGTTCTGAGAACCTCTCGCGCAGACTACAACAAGTTCTTAGAACACTCTGGTGGGCCTACGGGCAACTTAAGCCAGGACGCTTCGCCACTGTTCGAGGGCCCGGTGCTGTTGGCCCCGGATGCATTCTGGACGGCCCCGGGGGCAGGCAGCCGGCTCCGAGGGCCGACGCCGAGGACAGAAACGCCTGCTTTGGCCAAAACACGTCACCATCGCCCAAGCGTCTGCTGACACTCTGGAGTTTACACTCGCATCTGCACCCCCGCCCTGCTGCATCTAGTCCCGAAACCATGCCGTGCGAGACTACAGGTGGCCGGAGCGTCAACTCCGCAGCGGCAAGAGGGCGTGCAGGCGTCCTTGTCCAAGGTCGGTCTCCAGAGCCCTCCTATGGGGTCCCCTTTGGCCTGCTTTTCGAGGCGGATCCCGCCGTGGCGTTTAAGTCGGGCGTGTCCTCCTACAGGCGGATTCTTGACGAACAATAAACAAAATACCCCCAACATGCCAAACTATAGCCAAAAACAGACAAAACATTCGCCCCCTGAAATTGGACAGGCCTGACTCGACCGTGGCGCCGAGGAGCCTCCAAAATATGCTCCAAAAAACGACGAACCGCCACAAAGAGAGCCAGGGCCGCAACCGACCGAAAGACACACACGGCTTGCCTGTTTCAATGCGTTGAATTCAAACCTGCGACGTCGTGATTCCTGGATAGCTCCTTGGAGAACTAAGAGGGTTTCGGATTAAGAAGCCAGCGCCGAAGGGTAGCCCCGGAAGTCGTCCCGGCGGCGGTCGGATCCAGGCTCCCCGGCGCGCCTTGCTTGAGCTGGCGGCGTGTTCCGGCAGGCCTCTTCTCAGCGTTGAACCCAAACATGACGCGGCTCCCAAAAGCCCGGACCCATTCCCTGGGACCGGCTTCTCATGCTGACTCGTGTTTTGACGGCCTCGAGGCCCGTTGAGGGCCCCCAGAAGCCGAAACTGGTGAAAAACCTCCCGTCGTGGTGTTTGTTTTTTTCCACAGCGCGAGGGGATCTGGGAAGTCTCGGCACATCGTCGGCGATCTCGGCTTGGCCGTCGGTGGCCGAGAGGCCGGGCGGGGGGCGGCGTGGCCGTCAGCGCCAGCATGCCGCCGGGCTGCGGGGGTGCCTCGCCCGCCTCCTTCTCGGCCTGAGGGGGGCGCGGGCGGCCACGAGGGGGGCGTCCACGAGGGGGGCGGGGCGCAAATCATGGCCGGCGGCACGTGCGCGGCCCGAGGTGGGGCCAGGGACGTAATGAAGGAAAAAGAAGCAGAAGCAGAAGAAGAAGAAGAAGAGGCGCCATGAAACCAAGGAAATATCATGGCCCACGCCATGAGATCCACCCCCCCAGTCATCACCCCCCTCCTTGCCGCCCCCGAAGGGGGGCGGGGGGGGGATCGCGGGCGGCCCTCCCGGGCAAGCAGGACGAAGGCCAGGCCAGACGGCCCTCACGCCCAGGAAGAGTCACGGCAGGAGGCGTGCCCCCACCGGGGTGAGAGAAGCATTCCTACACTTCCGGTAACAGCCGTTACCCGGGGGGGGGGAGCGCCTGGACCCGATTCGCGGGGGGCCGAAGTTTTCTCATCGCTGGGGGGAGTTACGAATCGAAGCTGCTATCTTCTTACCATCCCCACGGGCTTATTTCTCGGAGGCACAGGGTTACCCTCTTGCCATGTCACTTCGGATGAAATAACTCTGGGATGCCTGAAAACTGGCGGGTCTGAAGGATATGTCAAGCGCCGCGGCAGTTCCAGAGCAAGACAATGCTAGGACGAGGACAAATTCTGTTTAAGATACAATCAGAGTCTCTGAGATCCACCGGCCCGGATGTATCGGGAGCCGCGGCCTTCTCAGAGCGTTCCGGGGCGCTCTGAGAGCGTTCCAGAACGCTCTGGAACGGACGCATCCTCGTCCTAGCCCCGTTCGGCTGATAGCGCTTCGGATCGCTCTGTGACGAGATCTCTTCACCCTCGGCCTGACGGAGTGCAGCGAGAAGATCATGCCGGAAACGGATCCTGGACCCTGGGGCCTTCCCTGGGGCCATCGCTCTTCATCCTGCGGCGTCGTCTATGGACGATGCCGGGGCCTGGAAGGGGCCCCGGAAGCCCGAAATCCAGGACGAATCTTCAGAGTCGCTTTCCTCCCAAACCGCTCTGATCCATGCTGACTCTCAGACCAACTGAGGCTGAGACCGTCAAACATCCGTCCAGGATGAAAGACACTCCAAGGCCGCGCTGACGGCTCGCTTGGTTAACGGTGCGATTGGGAATACTGTTTTTTTTGTGACACCGACCTCACCCCAAACTAAATGTAGGAAATCACGAAACACCCTTTCCTCCATTAAAAAAACGCGAATGTTTCGAACGAACAAAACACAGCGGGAACACACGAACCACACGTTCCTACAACTGGTTTGGCCACGAACCGCGCCTGCCTTCAATTGGTTCTCCTACTCCGCCGTTAGCTAACACACCGCTAGCGCGTCACTTCCCTGGGGAGGGGTCGAACGATCCAGGGGCCCGCGTCACGCAAGAAGTTCCCCAAATGGAGCGAGCCGATCACGGCCATGCCCAACCAATCCCAAGGTGGGTTCGTATACTCCAAATCCGTTATTAATCGACCCCCCTACAAAACCGAACCCCACTCCGAATGCGACCATATATTCCGGCCCCCCCTCTTGCGCCTAAATACACCGGACCCCCTAAGCTCCAATCCAATGAAAGCGCCCCGATGCACCGGACCCCCCCAATTACAAAAAAAGGCGCCCTACAAAACCGGACCGGGGGGACGATTAATAAGGGAGTTGGAGTACCTCCCTGGCTAGAAGGCGCGTGCACAGATCCTGGGATGAGGATGGGCCTGGCCAAGATCGGTGTGTGTGTGTGTGCGTGTGTGATGAGCTCCCGTGTTCTGGGAGGACGGGGGACGGGGGTGGCCGAACATCCCGACTCCTCCTTCCAGCTGCTCCTGTGCGTGACAGTTACGCCGCGTACCACATTAAAGGGGCCCACGGACACACAAATACACACGCACGAATCCAAGGATTCCGGCACATATTGCTGTATTTTCTGGCCGCTCGTCCTCCCCGACTACTTCCCCGTCTTAAATCTCCCGGGACATCGACGATTGTTTGTGTCCGTGTGTGTGTGTGTGTGTGTTTGTGTGTGTGTGTGTCCGTGTGTATTGGCTTCCCCTCCTGACTGCCTGCATGCCCGGAGCAGTCGATCCTGCAAGACGCATCTCAAAATAATAGATGCGTTTAGATGCGATCGCGCCCAAGTGCAGGCGAGAAGCCCATCGTATCTATTTTTCTGCACCGACGACAATGAGAGCGCCGTCGTATCTAAACGTATATATGTTTCGGCCATGTCTAAACAAATGGGACCGTATCTATTTTTCTTACAGCAAACATATCTCTTGTATCTGTTTTGAGCAATGACAGCGCCGAGCCGTATCTATTCGTATCTAATTTCTGCCAGAAAGAATGTTGTTGGCTGTGCTCTCGGCGCGAACAAGATCCACGAAATTGGCCGAAGCAATGAACAACGGGATTGGGATACACATTGTTCATTGAAAATTCGTCTCGCGGGCAAACCCCGAAATAACACGCATACTTCTCACGCTTCTAATTCTTCCCGGAAGTAGAAGTGAGCGGCTTCAGAAGTGGCAGTCCCTGCGAAACACGAAAATGTATGGCTCTCTTTTTGTTACCTCCGACTGGACTCCAACTCCCGTCTCCCGACGTCGTGCGTCCGTGTCGTGCGTCCGTCGAAGGTGAAGGAATATTTCCGAATATCTTCAAGGGCTCCCAGCTTCGCGCTTCGCGCCGCGCGAAGCGCGAAGTGCGAATAACTTCGCGCTCTCGCGCCGCCTCCAAGGGGAGAAGAGGAGGATGAGGAGGAATCGGAGCCGAACCGCGAAGCGCGAAGCGCGAATAACTTCGCGCCCTCGAGGGCGCCCTTGATCTTGGGAACCCCCAAACCAGGTGGTGAGATACCAGGTGGCGACCTGGAATCCCCAAAAAGGTCACCGCTGGGTTTGGGGACGCGGGGTCACCACCGGGTTCTGTGACTCCTGGACCCACCAGTGTCCGGGACATCCTCGGAAAACCGCACGAGTCCCCAAACCGGGTGGTGACACCAGATCGCCCGAGACTCACCGCCAGGTGTTGTCACCACCACGTTTGGGGACTACTAAATATCTAAACAATAACTATTGTAAATATTCCTTCCGGTGATGTTAACCACGGGTGTACATGCATGTCTGACTGGATGTTTGCACTGCTGTCTTCCTTGTGCCTCGACCTCTGGTTCTCTGTTCCGGCCGTGCGTTTGCGCCCCTGCCCGTGCAATTTTCCGGAGATAGAGCTACGTACCGGGATTGTCGGGATTCTTCCGGCAGGACTTAATCTATGCACTGTTTGGATGTGCCAGGAAGTATGGTATCGCTCACCTTAAATATTGTCGTGCACGTTCCGTGTGTGTGTGTGTGTGTGTTTGTTTCTTCTCGTTGAGGCTCACATACAGCTTTTCGTCATCGTAATTAACAGTTGTCGCCCCCATAATTATTATGTTTCTAATTCTTCGCATTATTAGATTTGAGCGGTTTTAGACATGAGCGGTTTTAGAAATGAACCATGTGAAGCCGTAGCGAAGAGGAGTGAGGACACGGCCGACGACGACAAAACCGACGAGGAGTAGGATGGATAACAACGACGAAACGGAATTTAGGAGAGAACTGGGTCGGAACAGGGAACCGTAGGATGGGGAAAGCAAAAAGGAGGAGGACGAGGAGAAGGAGGAGGAGAAGGAGGAGGAGGGACGATGAGCGCGGACGAGGAGGAGGAGGATGAGGACGCGCGGCGAGGAGGCAAGAGGAGCGAGGTAAAGTTGGAGGGAGCGTCAGAAGGAGAACGTGGAGGAGGGGGCGTCCGGACGGGGATGAAGTCGATCAACGATCGTCCTCCTCGTCCTCATGACAGTTCGGCCCGCCCGCCGTCCATGATTTCCCACTTCACTTCCTCCTCCTCCTTCTCCTCCTCTTCCCCATCATCATCGTCGTCCTGACTGGCATGTGTATTGTCTTCCCCGTTCGTGGTAATTGGGCGGCCTGGGCCTGGCTGTGGAGACGTGGCGCCGTATCTATTCGTATCTATTTTTGGTAGACATGTTTTCAAGCGATGGGGCCATATCGAACCGTATCTAAACATGTCTAAACATATCTTTTCGTATATGAAAATGCCCCGTATCTAAATGTTGAAGAAAACCTACATCCCGCGTCTACAACAATAAGAATTCGTATCTGAACGTATCTGTGTTTGAAAATATCTATTCGCATCTAATTTTCATGAAACGCATATGATTCAGGGAAGGATTTTAGATACCATCGGGTCCTTCCGAATGCAGCTGCCGCTGGGGAAATGAGCGACCAACATAAAACATAAACCTTGAGGTGTGTCCCCCAGCCCCGGGGGCCGACGCCCGGGCCGGGGACACCCGAGCTGGCCGCGCGCGCGGAGCGCTGGGCCCACCTCCGGGGAGGGTGCCCCGCGTGCCGGCGGGACATCGCACGCCGTCGGCCCGCGTTTATCGTCAGCGGCGAGGCGGCGACATCCGCGCCAGCGAACAGCTACGTATAGCCAGAGGCGACGATAGGGGCGAGTAGCCCAGGGGAGAGCAATACATGCATTCAGGTGCGCCCATAGATGTCTTCGAAAAGGCTCCCGAGCGAATACGTATAATGCCCGCCCCTGGGCTACTCGCCCGTATCGTCGCCGCCGATGTAGGGGCACTAACTAGCGAATTGGCCAGCGTGCAAGGAGGGAGGGGGGAGGCGGAGAGGAAGCAGGGTCGCTCAGACGCCGAAGAATTCGACGATGAGCAGCCAGCGGGCAGACGCTGTCGGCCCACACTAGAGGGCAAAAAAAACAAAAAAACATCCCGACAAGCGACGCCGCCTAGTAAGCGCACCCAGAGAAGGAATCGAGCAGGGCAGGGCCGTTTAGGAAACGCCAATTGTCCGGTCCGGGTGGTTTTCCTCCCTTGACACACATCCCCAGGCCAGAGGCCCGACCCGCAGAGAGGCCCCCCGCCCCCAAGAGCCCGAGATCGCCGGCACGACGCGCGCCCGCGACCCCGCGGCCTCGCGGCGCGGGCCCTCTACGCGGAGGAGGCCGCCTCCTTTTCCTCCCCCTCCTCCTCCTCCTCCTCCTCCTCTCCTCCTCCTCCTCCTCCTCCTCCTCCTCCTCCTCTCCTCCTCCTCACTGTCTCCCCTCCTCCTCCTCCTCCCCCCTCCTCCTCCTCCCTCCTCCTCCTCCTCCTCCCTCCCTCCTCCTCCTCGTCTCCTCCTCCTCCTCCTCCTCCTCCTCCTCCTCCTCCTCCTCCTCCTCCCCCATCCTCGTCCCACTCCTCGGGCCGAAGGGGGGGGGGGGGGCATAGCTCTGCGCGGGCCCGGGCCCCCCCTCTGCAAAGGCGGTGGCGCCTCCGTGGCCCTGCGCCCTGGGCGTCCAGAACGCGCGAGGTCGTGGCTGGGGCGTAAAGTGGTGTGGGGGGGGGGGGCGATGCATCGGGGGGGGGAAAGGGCTTGCCCTCTTCGGGCCTGGAAGGGGCCCTCTCCGGGGCGTGGAGTATCGGGCGTTGGCAGAACTGGCTTTAGTGGGACCTGTTTTAGAAGGTTTAGTGATGTGTGCTGGGGGACGCCCCCCCCCCGCCCCGTTCCACTGACCGGAACTGCCGTCACCGGAAAAAACACGAGCTACGGCCGGCAGAATTTTTTTAGTGATTCTGGCTAATTCAGGGGCTCCACTGCACTGTGCGAGGCGCGGGGGCGGCGGCGCCAGCGTCGCCCAGTGCAGAGCGGCGGGCGCGGGCTCGGCGGGCCATGGCGCGGCGGCGGGCGCCAGCCCGCGACGAGCGCGGCGCCGGGTGGCGGAGCGCAGGGCCTCAGACCACAAAACCTGGGGCCTCGCCGCCGCCGCCCGCACTATACGGGTCCCCTTAACTGGGGGGGGTCCTGGCCATATCCGAAAGTAGTGTGTGGGGGGGGCGATGCATCGGGGGGGGGGAAACGAGTTGCCCTCCTCGGGCCCGGGAGGGGCCCTCTCTGGGCCGCTCTCTGCAGCCCTCGCTGTCCCCTCGTTTGTCGCACCCCCCATGGCGCGTCCTCCAAGCGGATGTGGCCACGTTCGCCGCCGGCGGCGAGAGTGCCAGAAGTGCCAGGAGCGTCCCCGCGAAGAAACCTCCGAGGGGTCCCGAAAAAAGAGGCCGCCGAGAGTCCCTCCTCGCCCCCGAGGGCCGCCGGCCGCTGAAAGCCCTCCTCCCTCGGATGCCCAAGATCCGATGCATCTTTTTCATTGCGGTCCCACTGAAGTCCCGACCGTTTCCCTGGGGCAGGCGCTTCACCCAGAGTCGTCTTGAGGGCGTTTTTTGTTCTGCAGACCTTGCCTTGCATCTCCCCCCTTCGCCGCCTTTTCAAACAGCGCTGCGCCGAAGAGTCGTGCAAGTGCGTCCCGACTTGTTTGAAGTGTACATTTCCTTTCGGGCCTCGCCACGCCTCCATCTCCTCCCTCCTCCACATAAGTAATGCCAGAGCCCAGGGCAACCAGGACGAAAAGGAGGGAGGAGGAGAGAGAAACGCCAGCACGCAACGGGGCGGTCCTCGTTCGGGAGCCAGGGAAGTGCCCTGGACATCGCAGATGGTGATGAACAAGGTGGAGGAGGAGAAGGAGGAGGAGAAGGCGAGCATTGCCGAATCGACGCGAACTTGTCCGCAGTCCTGAGTCCTGAGTAGGAAGAAGAGGAGGAGGAGGAGCAGGAGGAGGAGGAAGAGGAGGAGCAGCAGGAGGAGGAATAGAGAGGACGAGGAAGAAAGATGAGCAGGACACAAGTCCACAGTCTTGCGTGTCGAGTCTCCAGGTGGAGGATGGGGGGGGAGAACGAGGAGGAGGAGGGAGGAGGACGAGGAGGGAGGGGGAGGAGGAGGAGGAGGAGGAGGAGGAGGAGGAGGAGGAGGAGGAGGTGTGGAGGAGGAGGAGGAGGAGGAGGAGGAGGAGGAGGAGGAGGAGGAGGAGGAGGAGGAGGAGGAGGAGGAGGAGGAGGAGGAGGACCCCCCCCCCGAAGAGTCCGCGGCTCGCGCGGGCGCCGTGGGGCCTCCGCGCGCGCCTGCGCCTCCACCTGCGCGGCCGACGCCTTCACGGCCAGCTGGGAGAAGACCACGGGATCCGGCAGGCCCTCGCGGACCTCCGTCGCGCCAGCCCTCTCTGCGTTGGTCGGCGGCGAGCGAGGGGGGGAAGTGAGCAGGAGAAGCCTTCCGTCACTTTGGGGAGGCTCGGAAAACTTCTCGGAAGGCTGGAGGACTTCCGAGCCTGACGAGAAGGCCCGGCCCCTCTCACTCCCCCCCCAGGCTGGCCGCCACGATAGACCGACAGTGGCTGCATGGCCGTTGCGTCTGAACGCACGCGCCTGCAAAACACACACACACACACACACCGCATGCGTAATCGCAAATGGTTTGTGCAAGCAGTGCGTGCGCCACTGTATCAAGAGGGGCAAGGAGAAGCGGAAAAGTGCAGACGCCAGAGAAGCGCATAACGGCAAGGTTTCCCCACACTCCCACCACGATACCTCCTCCTCCCCTCGACCTCCTCCTCCTCCTCCTCCTCCTCCTCCTCCTCCTGCTCCTCCTCCTCCTCCTCCTCCTCCTCCTCCTCCTCCTCCTCCTCCTCTATGCTACAGCAGGCACATACAATACGAGACCCGGTGAACCGACATCTAAGAAAAATGCTTCGTCAATTCTGCGGCCTGCAAGGTGCCCCAATGTTCTGAGGACCCATCCGGAGACACAACATCATCGTGGGACACCAGCTGGCAAGCAAGTTTTGTGTTTGGCCTGCCTACTGTATGATCGGATGATCGCGGCGTCTAGGTGGAATGGCAATGAAAAACGAGAGTACGGACTTAGGGGATGAAGTCTTAGTGCAGCTGCCAGCCCGTGCGGCAAGCAAAGGGGCTAAGATAGCACGAACAGAACAAGCATCCTCCGCAAGGGCTGACAACAACCGTTGGAACGAGAAGTACGGCAGCAGCCGTCCTCCTCCTCCTCCTCCGCCTCCTCCTCATTCCTCTCCCTCTTCCTCTCCACCTCCGCCTCCTCCGGGTGTCGGACGGCTCCAGCAGGCGGTCCGTGGCCTTTGGGATCGAGGCATCGGGGATCGACCGAGGACTGATCGAGACTCAAAGGTCGATCGAGGAGCGGGCATCGATCGAGGATCGAGGGCCCGGGATCGACCGAGGATCGGTGGAGGGACGAGCATCGCTCGAACACCGATCGAGGATCGAGCATCGATCGAGGGTCGGGGACCGGGCACCGATCGAGGATCGATAGAGAGGGCCGATGGTCGGTCGCGGATCGAAGATCGAGGGCCGAAGATCGATTCGAGGATCGGGTCTCGATCGAGCATCGAGGATCGATCGAGGACCGAGCACTGCTGGAGGATCGATGGTCCATCGAAGGCAGATCGAGGAGCGAGAATCGGGGATCGATCGAGGATCGAGGATTGACTGAGGATCGATCGAAGATCGATCGAGGATCGTGGATCGATCGAGGAGACGGGAGGATCGGTCGAGCATCGAGGATTGCACTGGCATCGATCGAGGATCGAAGATCGATAGAGAACCGAGGATCGGTGCATGATCGAGGCTTGATCGAGGAGCGAACGTAGATCGAGCATCGTGGATCGATCGAGAATCAGGGATCCATGGATGACCGATCGAGGATACATGATCGAACGGGGCTCGATCTTGGATCGGACGAAGATCGAGGATCGGGGATCAATGGCTTCGGTATCTTTTGTATCCTTTTTTTCTAGCCTCTGCAGAGACGTCCCGACCCCCAGACGCTGTTATTTCTTCACAAGAATGACCTATGAATGTCTCAGGATCGGCGGTTTCTTGACGGCCCCCTACCCCCCGAGCGCAGCAAAGGCCTCCCAAATGCGTGATTCGTTGACGACGCGACCAGGTCTGGGGACGGAAAGTTCGTGTCGTGACGACGTCGTCACAAATTTCTGACACCGCGTGGGTCGTTCAGCCTTGAACGATCGCGGCTTTCCGATAGCGCAGATCGCTGGATATCGGCCGATGCCGGCGGCGGGCGGCGCTCAGCCTTGACCGCCGCCGCTGGGGTCGCCGCCGCGTCAGCGAGCCGCGAAGGCTGTTAACAGGATAAGAGGGTCACCCGTGAATGCTACGCCTAGCGTGTCAGTGGGTTGCAAATGCGGTGAGTGGCTCAGGCGTGGGGGTCGGGCCAAGTGGGCATCGTCCTTGGTGGATTGATCTGACCCCCCAAGGCCCCTCGGGGCATCTGCGCCCTCCTTTCCGAAGGTACCCTAGGTCAGATATTCCCACCGTAGCATCCACTTGTGTAGAAGAAGAACAGAAAACACAAACATGAACTTGTGGTGCTCCGCGCGGATTTCTTGGACCTGCGCTGGACCCCCCCCCCTCCCTGGCGCGCGAAGCGCGCCAGCGGCGGCGCCGGAGGTGCCGCCAGGGGGCCTAGCGCGGATCCAAGAAATCCGCGCGGAGCGTCACAAGTTCATGTGTATAAAATTGCTTCTTTTTCGACCGTCGCATCCTCTTGTTACCCCTAGCCTCAGCTCGGGCGTGTCCCCCTACAGGGGGATTCTTGGCGAAACATAAAAAAAATCGCCGGCCCAACGGGCCAGAGGCGTGCTAAGATCTCCGGTAACTTGTTAACAATATTTCTAGTTCGCGCGCGCGGAGCGGCCCCTGGGGGCCCCCGGACGAAAAGTACCCCGGCAAGGTCCCGAGAGAAGCCCGGGAGAAGCCACCAGACCACTCCAGGGGAGGGTATTTTTCGACACCCCTCACGAGGATCGTGGCCTCCGAGGGGGGAGCCGCAATCGACTACCCCCAAGAGCCCCCCAAGAGGCCCTGGGGGCCTCCAAAACGCCGCCAAGGAGCCCCAAGAGACTCCCAAGAGGTCCCCAAGAGGCCCCCAAGAGGCCCTAAAGAGGGCTCCAGGGCCGGCGGCATGAGCGAAGCGATTAATAATGTGCTCCAAAATGTGCGCAAGAAATCGTCCCCCGACAATTTTCTTTAAACTATTTTTGGGCACTCCTCCTGTAGAGGGGCAGGCCCGACGTAACCCCAGACCTTCCCCGCGGAGATCCCACCGGAGAGGGCCCCTCCGGAGAGGCCACCCTCGGCTCCGAAGGCCCCCCCCCCACCGGGAGCTCTCCGCGCCCCCCCGCCGTGCGCGCGGGGGCGCCGCCACGCCTCACTCCCCTGC